ACAAGGCAACAAAAACCCGCCAGGCCATGATGCTGCGAGACAGCAAAGATGCAAGAGTTCGCCAGGCAGACATTGAGGTCAGAACAGGTCGCAAGTGGTCAGCCAGCAGAGCGCTGACATCGTTGGGGCAGTAGCCCAGGGCAGGCTAGGCCTGAGTTGCTCCACTAGGGCAAACTGGAAAAAGGCTAATCCAAAGGAACGCCGTGGCATGGTTCAAAGGGAGGTACGCAGGGCAGAGGAGGAAGGCAGACATGTCAAGGCAGTAGCCATGAACAAACAGGGCAGCTGGACGAGGTGGGAGAGTGTGCGAGAAAGGGCACTGACTTGGAAGGACATCTGGAGCATGGAAGAACACCGGATCAAGTTTCTGTTGTGTTCCGTGTTTGATGTCCTGCCGACTCCATCAAACCTCCACACATGGGGATTGGCCGAAAGGCCCTGCTGCACGCTCTGTGGAAGGCCAGCTAACCTGGAGCATGTCCTCTCCTCGTGTGGGTCAAGTCTGGCGAATGGGAAATTCAGGTGGCGACACGACCAGATCCTGACACAACTGGCTGCTGGTGTGGAACAGGCCAGAAAGAGGCCAAAACAACGTACTGATGGTCCTCGTTTCATCCACTTTCTCAGGTCAGGGGTAAGTGCAACAAAAACAGCAGAGTTGAGGACTAAAGGAGTCCTGGGCACGGCAAGTGACTGGGAGATGCGGGCTGACCTTAAGCAGCAGCTCAAATTTCCAGAGGAGATAACCCTTACCAACCTCAGAACCAACATTGTCCTCTGGTCTAAAGGTACCAAGCAAGTGATCCTAATGGAACTTACAGTACCCTGGGAAGAGAGGATGGAGGAAGCACATGAGTGCAAGCTCAAGAAATATCAGAATCTCATCCTTGCAGGGGGCTTCGCAGGGCAGTCGCTCTGGAGAGCTCTGGGACTGCTTGGAATTGAAGGCCAGGCTAGGAAACGGCTGATAGCCAACATCACCAAGCAGGCAGAGGCAACATCCTGGTGGATTTGGATAAAGCGGAATGAGCACTTGCAGAGCAAACCTGGGGAGGGAAAACATCAGAGTTGAGTGGCAAACTGCGGGGGTAGTACCAAGACGCTGGTTCTACCGTCGAGTCCCCCCGAGATGTCATGGGCTTAAATCAACGAAACATCGAGGAAGGGGGGTGCCCATTTGAAAACCTGCATAAGCCACTCAACTCATTTCCAGTTTGGAGGGGGTGCCTTGAGGGAGGGAAAAGGAGAGAGCGATTCCACTGGCTCACAGATGGTGCAGGGGAGAGTACCTGTAAAGGTGAGCCGGTTGCGATAACCCCTATCGTATTTTGCATAAAATAAATCTTGTTTTGAGCATGAATGAAGTAAACGCTTGCAGCTCTATCTCAGTTTTGTAGATGGAATCTGTTTCATTTATTTATTTTTGCCTTATATGTGATATGCTCTCTACAAGGCACAGAGATAAACAGCTATTGTCACTTTTATTGTGTAGTATTTTTTATTTTCAAGGTCACATGGATATCTTTTAAAGGTGGAAGTAGAAAAGTTGTGCTTTACCTTTCCTTGGAGGCAGCACAGTAACATTGGCTGGTCCTGAAGAGTGAATGAAGACTTTCAGGTTGATTTTGCTGGGTGGGAAAAACTGCCATGATTAAGAATCTCTTAAACACACTACATTATGTAAATGTCAGAAGTGATTTACGAAATGGTAACACTTTAGTCATAATAAATCACTCCATATTTGGAATGAAATTATACACTTCATAGTTTTGTTGATGAGAGTCAACTTTAATTGTTCAGATTAAGTGTTTTGATAGGTATTATCTTAAATTATACATTTCATCTTTGCCACCTGTAGTTACAAACACGACATTTTCCACCAGGTGACACATACTACATACTTAAAGTCATTACATGTAAAACTAGATGCAACTTTTCTTCTGCTGTGCTCCCTCACCTTTGGAAAAGCTTCTCCTCTTTGTCCTTGAGTCTTACATTGAATCCGGCTCTCATGTGATTAATCCTGTCATCACAGCTCAGTTTCTTTGGCTTGTAGCAGAACCAAGGCTCGCCTGTACGGAGGTCAGTGTAGTTGCACTGTGGCTGGTTGGTTTGACGTAGGCAAACGTTACAGGAGGCAGTTTCAGAGATTGAACCTGAGCGGAAGAGGCTTTTAAAGAGAACCCTTTCAGGATGTTCTCTATTCAGCCTGTGCAGAACTGTGACAGCCTCGCTTGAGTGGACAAGCGTTACCTGATAAAACAAAACACAGAGAGTTTGCAAGTTATAGCATACACCCTTTGCCTGCTATTTTTTATTTAATATTAAGATCAAGGGGAAATTCTGTTTTTACACTCTGTTAATCATGCAACATGTGGTGGGGAGGGGACTTAGTGGCTTGCTCAAGGGCACCTAGGCAGTGCTCAGGAAGTGATCTGGCATCTCTCCAGCTACCAGACCAACTTCCATATTTCGTCAGCACCGTGACTTCCGTGAAAGTCCCTACAGACTGAGCTACTGCCGCTACTGTATCATTTGATTGTTAAATCAATGTTTCCAAGATAATTCATCTGTATTTTTGGTGCCAGCTGACTAAAGTTAATAATTTATTCAACTTAAAAACGTAAGAGAGATTGATGGAATTGGTCAACTCTCTACTAGCTGGAAAGTTGAACTTGTAATACTCTAAATAACTGCGCGTGGTGGCAGGCACTCCAGTGTGTGTGTGTGTGTGTGTGTGTGTGTGTGTATGTGTGTGTGTGTGTGTGTGTGTGGTGTGTGTGTGTGTGTGTGTGTGTGTGTGTGTGTGTGTGTGTGTGCAGCATGTTGGTGTGTCTCACAGTCATGACAACAGAGAGAGGGGCAGGGAAAAGTAGTTGCAGCTACATAAAACACGCTTAATACTCACAGCATAGTTTTTATGACATTTTGGTAAAACATTTACCTGCCCAGTGGCAGATAGCACTCTGAACTTTACTCGCCAAATGGAAAATCTGCCCGCATTGTTAATTACGGACCCTGGGAGCAAGGCAGTGGACCTTCTCTCTCTCTCTCTCTCTCTGCTTATGTGAATCTGCTCTCTTGGTTTTGCTGTCTTATCTCTCTACAGTAGTCGAGAAGTTTTTTTATGTTGCACGAAGCCATCAGGTCCTCTAGCTCTGGTGCGCTCTCCCTCTCGCTCTCTCATGCACACAGTAATTTTATGAAAAAATGAAAATTACAAACAGGTCGGAAATGTACTTGGGGGACAGAAATGTACTTGGGCGTCCCACTCATGTATCATCTATGTGTGGGAAACACTATATTTTGTACAAAGCTGGTTTAAAAAGTTGGGCATATTGGGAATCAATGGGGAATGACTCATTAGTCTTTTTTTTTTACTTTTTATGTTGTTGCTTGTTGGCAAAAGAGGGTCAGGGGAACTGGTTTAGATTCCATGAATTAAATGACCTACAGGACAATAACATTAGGTGATTCCTTTACCATCACTTGTTTTACAATACCATTTTAAGCCTTGACCTTTACCTCAACCTGTGCACTTCCTTCCCAGAGTAAAGGGAATACAGCAGAGTAGGAGCCATTAAGGTGATCCACCACTCGTCCAGCCACACCTGCTTCAAGTGCCCTGTTGTGCAATCGGGCAAGTAAGACATCTCCTCCAGACTTCTTGGGGTTTCCTTGGAAGTCGTACATTTTTATCATAACTTCCAGCTGGTCTCCTATGTGCCGCTCTACTCCACCCCTCCCTGGGAGAATGGTGAAGGTGCTGTGGGCAGGATCACTTGTCTGGTTTAATAAAAAAAAAGGTGGCGGACGTGGAGATTCAGGCCAAGCAATGGAATCTAATAACATGCGTTCCTCCTCAGCATCTGCCAAAGACAGTGGCTTAAAGGTGCAGAAATCATCAGGCCTGGGAGGAAGAGTGGGAGGAGCAGTGGGAGGAGCAGTGGGAGGAGCAGAGGTCACTTTGTTAGGAATGATGGCAGAGTTTTCTTCATAATGTACCTGGAAAGGGGTTGAAAAAGAGAGATGGTGACAGATGCATCGAACAAATTTACTTAAATAAAATACACTGAAAGAACAATTTAGACTTTATTGATCCCGTGAGGGGAAATTCATTTTTTACACTCTGTCTAGCAAACATGCTACACAAACATAGGCCGAAAGACACACACAAACAGGATCCTATGGACATGCACTAATGGAGAGGTGTCAGAGTGAGGGGGGCTGTGGGGCTTCCCACAGTGGGTGCTCCTGAGCTGGGTTGGGTGCCTTGCTCAAGGGCACCTTGGCAGTGCTCAGGAAGAGGACTGCTGTGGTACCTCTCCAGCTACCAGGCCAATTTCAGGACTTGGTCTGTGCTGGGATTTGAACCGGCAACCCTCCGATTCCCAACCCAAGTTCCTACAGACTGAGCTACTACCACCCCAGTATCATTTCGAACTTGTTTCAAGCCCGGTCAGTGACACAGTGTTTCAGGATATGATGATCAGGGTGATGATATAATTAAAGTAAAGCTAGGAAACAAAAAGTTTCAGATTTGATGACACACACAGCAGACTGTTTAACATTCAGCTCTCAGCCAGTTGTTGCACTGAGGCTGCTGTTAGTGAGCCTGAGCCAGACACATCCAGGGTAAGAATGGGACCAGCTGAGGAGCTGGAGATGAGAAGCACTGCACCAGCCCTGAGGTCTTAACGTTTGTGTAGGGTGATGGGCTGGCATCAGGGTCTTAATATTTAATTACAGAAAGCCCTTTAAGAGAATCAGCTGGTGATGGTCAGAGAGACTGAGGCTTTTATAAACAGCCTATGAAGGAAGTTGTATCATTCACCTGAAACCAGAATCTAACTCTTTGAACAATCCATCAACAATTGATTTCATAGTAAGAGGGCGGTAGTAGCTCAGTCTGGGCCTGACTCTGACATCTCTTCACTGATGCATGTCCACAGGTCCTGTTTGTGCATGTGAGTGAGAGTGTAAAACCAGAATTTCCCCATCCAGGGTTCATGATAGACATTCAGTTTTCACCTCTGATTCCCAACCCAAGTCCCTACAGACTGAGCTACTGCCGCCCCAAGATAAGATAAGATAAAAAAAAGTGATTTTTCTAAAAGAATACTTATTAATCATAACTGTTGATTTGTAAACTGTAAGCTGCTGGAAGTCACTGAAATGTCTCTAAAACGATGCCTAAGGGCAATAGTCTTTTACTAGGGGAAGAAGGCAAGAAGCCCGGGAGTTTCATTGCTCAGACCAGCCTATTGTTCATATCCTTTCGCTGGAGATATATGCTATGATTCTAGCTTTAGTACATAAGTCTGAAAAAGTGCATTATTATCTACAACCTTGTAGCTTATTAAATCGTGTATTTTATTTTTTTTAATTGTAATTTCCAATTCAAAGCATTAGTCTAGAGTGTTTCTCACAGGATTTTATGAGGCTATGGCAGGAGGACACAGAACCACCTAGGGGGTTCCGGGGGCAAGTTCTATTTTAGATGTGGCTGTGGCTCAGTTGGTAGAGTCGTCATCTCTCAAGCGCAAGGTCGAATGTTTGTCCCTAGCTCCTGCAGCAACATGTCTGATGTGTCTTTGGTCAAGACACTTAACCCCTTCGTCAGCGCCGTATGAATGGGATTAGTTACTTCTGATAATGTCACTACATAGCAACCTTTGCCGTCAGGGTGTGGATAGGTGTGACATGCAGTATGAAAGCGCTTTGAGTAGTCAGAAGACTAGAAAAGCGCTATATAAGTCCATTTAACAATTTTGTGCTGCTGTAGTAATTAAACAGAAATTGTAAATGGACTTGAGCTTATATATGACTACTAGCACAGTGGTTAACTCTTATCTTCATATTGCATATAAATTGACACAGAAAGGCCTAAAGACACTTATCTGACATTTAAATAAACAGTGTGTTGGCTATATTATTCTTATTTTGTCCAGTCCTGACTTAAACAGCTTTATACTCATGTAAACATGATGTAAACACGGCTCCAACAACAACACAGCCAGCAGGACTCTGCTTCTCACTAATAGACAGTCATGACTCAGAGAGACATTTACAGAGGACATACTTGATTTCTACTTTATTTATGTGTAAATTGTCACACAGATCTTGGTGAATGAGGCCTTTTAGTACATTAAAAGACACTTTTGAAAATAGTACCCTTTAATCTGATTCACAAAAAACATTGTTGCCACTTATCCCAGTTCTCACCTGCAGCAGGTCCATGTTTCTTAGTGTAAAGAACAACACAGTCAGAAGGAGAAGGATGACACAGGTCTTCAGAAGTTTCATGTTGACATGGTTACTTATAAAACCTTTTAGCCACATGGGAGTCCTCTGGTACTGGATTAAAACAACAAAAAGGGGAAACAGACTCTGTGTTAAGTTTATCATATGAATTCTTCTGGAAGTCACTTAACTCAGTCATAAAAACCTCTGAATATTTATAGTGTCATCATGTCTAGCTTTCAAACTAATCTTGTCAATCGAGAATGCGATAATTATATGTTACCAAACAGGGAGTGTACAACAAAACAACTTTTTGGTGCTAGAGGTTTGACAGGAACATAATTACAATGTTCATACTGATGATCAAATTCTCACAGTCAGGTGTGCCAAGGTTACATGGTCTTATGAAATGTAGTGAAGTCACTTGAGGACAAAAGGTTGACTTAAGGTAGGGTTAGTATACCTGCAGGCACGCAGTAATGGAGGCACGAAGGAAACATGTACATTTAGTCTAATCAATCAATTTTTATTTCTATAACCTCAACTCATAACAAGTGTTATCTCAACACACTTTACAAAAAGCAGGTAAAAGACCTTAATACCTAACTAGAGATTGTTTTTAAGTAGACATTTTAACTGGTACTATTTTGTTACTTTATACTTTAACACATTTACATTTCAGATTCTAATTCTATTCCATTTATTCCTCAATGTTTTTTCTTCAGTTTCACTTGTTACTTTGTAGATTAAAAAAATCAATGATTCTAAAAATCATGATGTATAATTTTAGAAAACATTAAATTAAGCTCATCAACTCTGTGTCTCACAGCTTCAGCATATATGATACCATGTCTACAGTAATTTAATTGAAACTGTTCAAATAGCTCATGCTTACCGAATGACAACACTTATTTTTGGGCATTTAAATATATTTTGATGGCACTGTACTACCTCTAAATGGAGGACTATTTTAAACTAGATTTATCAAACTGAACATGTGCTTTTTAACTGATGGGATCATAGATTGATAAAGTATGATATATGACATGGGGTTTTATATCAGAGCTTGAACTCAAACAGTGAAGAGTATTTCCTATCCCTAAAGTATCCAGTAACAAAACAAGTAAATGTGATACAGGGGTTCAATTAAAAACAAAAATCAGAAGCAAGAAGCTTAAAGCATGCAGCATAAAAGAGGAACAGGAAGTGTTAAAAAATACCTTCAAAGTAGACACTAATGGAAACATGTTGTTTTCTCAGTGTCTATAAAATTAAACATAAGTTTCACCCAGACAAAATAAAGAATATTACGGCTTACCTCAGAAGAGATTAATTTGGAGTGAACACAGTGGTGAAATCTCTGTGATGTGACGGAAATCCAAATTTAAAAAAGTAAACCTTTTACTCAGAAAACAAGACAACCTGTCATAACAAGAAGCGTCAAAAAAGTGATAAAGAAGCTTCATAAAGTCATCAAGGTTAGAAGTTCTATTATCAAGACGAATGATGCCCTTCATAAGAATGTTGCCTCCCTCCATTTAACAGTGGGTTACGTATCCAGTCATTATTAAAAACGGCAGCTGAACAAGTATGGGCCTGAAGCATAAACTTTTGTATAAACTTTGTACAAACGTTGCATCTCCATTGAGCACTGAAATATGTCAACGTGGCGGAGACACCCATATGGAAAAGAAATAAAAATGTTTTACTAAATGTTTATATCTTTTATCTGAAACTTAATACACACATGACAGGGATGGTGTCACGGCTCTGGCTGTGATCCTGTGTCTTTGTGTATCCCTTGTGTCCCCTCCCCCTCTGTCTGTCTGTCTGTGTGTGTGTGTGTGTGTGTGTGTGTGTGTGTGTGTGTGTGTGTGTGTGTGTGTCTCTGTCTCTGGAGTGCATGGCTTCAATCAAACACCTGGTGACTACTCACACCTGCAGCTCATCTGCCTCAAGCTAAAACCCTGGGTTCAACTCAACTCATGGCCAGATTGTTGAGTCTACTGAAGTGGTAGTTTTGATCGGCTGCTCTTAACATTTGTTAGAGTTTATTCCTAGTGTTTTTCCAGTCAGTCCCAACAAGTTCTCTCTTGTTGTCCAGATTTTCACCGGTGTCATCTCCTCCAGTCTGCTCTCTTCTCAGGCAACTTAACCAATTACCTGCCTGCCTACTGAACCAGCTAACTCCATAAGTCTCCTCCACACCATCACTACCAGCCAGCCAGTCAGCCATCCACTTATACCAAGCCCTGCAATAAAACCTCAAACCCTTCAATTTTGCTGCCGTGTCTGCTTTGTCTAAATACAAACCGTAACAGATGGGCAATATTTCTGGTTTTCATGATTTCATGGCAGATTGTTTTCTTCATGTTTCCAATTAATTGATATGTAAAAATTGACCTGAGGGTTGATGGGGGCCACCAATTGCCCACCCCTGCGCATGACAGTCACACTACTCAAAA